TGAAAATCAATATCAAGTTTTGAAGTGTTTAGTTCAACGAACGCATTGCCATTCAATTCATAATTAGTAACACTAATGGATTGAGATATCCTTTCCTTAAAAAACATATGAACTGAAGTGTCAATCATAGAGACGTCGAAAAGACGATATTTGATATAATTGTACGCAAAGTAATTGCGTATAAAATGAGAGTCTTTGGATCGGTTCGGGTCGATGTCCATCACTACCCGATTTGTGGTCGCATTGAGTCTAACGCCAAACATATCTAGTGATTGAAATGAGATAATCGTATTGTTTGGCAACGATATGATTGATTCCACTGCTGTCTGTGGATCCGTTTGCCGACACGTCCTATGCATTCAATACACTCAGTGTTGAATTAAAGTTTTCATTTTTAAGGCAACATATTTTTAAAGCAAATGACAATTTAATAAATACCTGAGTATATGATTGTCGAAAGCGTTGTCACAAACGTGTGATTGAATTCCGCATACAATCACTAGAAATGCTGTGAATATTGCACTCATTTTGTGTTTTTATAATAAACTAATTGCTAATAAGTTTTACTTTTGAAACACTTTTACTTTCAACTGAAAAATCTATTTGAATATAAAATGAATTAAAAATACGTTATCAAAGTTAACTCAAATTTTTCAACAAATGGTTTGCGTTATAAATTGCAATAATAGTCAGTTTAATCAGTACGAGATGAACCCCCCGCTCCCCCCGTTAATAAATTATTTGATGAAAATACAAAGTTTAAAACAAATGTTTCAATAGTCTGTAATTTCATTTCCTGTCTATTGTCTGTCTATTAGGGTTGGCAATATGACAAACAACGTATTTTACGTACGTAATTTACGTTGTATTTTACAGTGTATTTTACGTACACAAATTTTTCATTTTGTAAAATACGTTCTTATAAAAATAATAATCGATTAAAATCAGAAAATCAAAACCAAAATAAATTGTTTTGGACTATTTTACAAAAACGAATGACAAATATTGATGAAATTTTTGCCGAAAATCAATGATTGAACCAGCAACTCGTATAAAATATAACTTTCTTATAATCAGGTTTTACTGTATACAAATTTAATAAGATGTATAAATTTAGAAACAATTAAATCGATTGTAAAATATATAATAATTAATAATGAATTAGTTTTAAAAGGTTCTACCATGTATAATTAGTGTAAATAATACAATTAAATAGCTTAATTTTAATTTATAAACTATGTTAATTTTTTCCCCATAGTAAGTAATATTACGTGTATATTACGTGAATTTTTGTATTTTACAATGTAAATTACGTGGCTTCAAAAAAATCCTTGTAATTTACCAACCTTACTGTCTATTGATGAGTCAAATGTCAACTCAAATGAGTGCTAACCATTGACCGATGATAGGGTTGAAAGGCATATATGCACTGAAATCATATGCAAACACATCAAAAAAGCAATATATTTCATATAGTTATGATTTTATGCAATAACTATTATTATAAATATTGCGCGAGATAATTTAATTAATTATAATTATTTAAGACTTAAATTTTAAGTCTCAATTACATAAGTCAGTAAAATTAAGTCTTAATACATAAATTAAAGTAAAATAATGTTTTAATTATGAATTTATATTTACATATACAGTATATTTAATGGTAAAATGAAATAAAAAACGTATAAAAACTAAAAATATCAAAATTCGAAAAAACTTAAATATTGAAACAAAATAAAAAACATTTTATAATTTTAATGTTTTTTGTGGCGACTTTTGGACATTACTTCTGACCGACGATTGTCTCTCTTTAATGGCGTCCAGTTTTGACCGAATCTTTTGACGCTTTAGCGCTTTCTCTTCTTCCGGATCTGATGTCAAACAACAACAAAACCAAATGATAAACACGAAGATTACGACAACCAAAATGAAAATAACTATAAATACGATCACAGCTAGGAATTGAATTAATGATTAGATTACTAATTGAAATTTTAATCAATTACTAGTGGTTTACAACCAATTATAATATAATTAGTGTATATGTCGTCAGTAGGTGTGGGAGAGGTTTGTGACGGGAATGTGAATTGTGTTGTATCGGGAGATTCAGTGGTCACAGGAGTCGTGGGTTTGGGTGTCGTTCGGATAGGAATGGGAGGCTCTTTGACACCAATCACATCATATGTTTTGATGTCTTCACTAAACTTTTTCCACGAATTCAATTCAATAAACGTTAAATTTTTGTAGTAATTTTTGGGGCATTGAAAGAAATGTTGAATTATTTGTGGCCTAAAAATTCCGTATTCTTTCCAAAAAAGATAATTGTTTTTGACACAAATCTTATCCCCGTTTTCATAGGTAAAGACCGCATCCAAACCGTCGGGAAGTCCCAGACTTTTGAGTAGAGTTTCGTTTTCAAACACAAAATTGTTGTTTCTATCTTTTAAATATAATTTCCTTTTATCGCCCTTTAAAACAACAGACAATTATATTATTATAATAATCAATCACTTAATGTTATAATCCATTGAATAAAAGCACAAACTTTATATAAATAGCATTCACTGTAAGTACGGTTACAATGGATGGCATCCAAAGGGTATTTACTATTAGGGAAAAGAGTCGAGAGTTGTGTCCATTGTTTCGATTCATTCTTATTATCCGAAAAAGTGGTGAATTTGTCTCCTTTTACGACAAAAATCTCAGATTTTATGGAATCGACAAAAACTGTGTCAATGTTTCGCAAATCCTGTGTTAACATTTTAATTGTATGAATTTCTGGATGAGTTTGAGTTGAATCCCATTCCCAATAATAATTGCCATTAAATATATAAAAATGTGTTTCATTTATGGGAATCATTGCATCGATGGCTGCACTCAAACAGATATCCGACGGACAGCCAAACCAAACATTGTTTGACTGGAAATACAATTATAATAATTGAATTATTAGAAAAATATGTGCTTAAAACCAAAATACCCTATAAATTGATTTCCTGTTAATTTCTATCATTGTTTCATTGAATACAAACTCAAACAATGCAAACATATTTGTGTCAAAACACAAAAATACATGACATTTAGTGCGAGTCGATTGAGTGATACAGTCGGTGATCAATACTGACGTTACGGTTGCATTCAATTGTGTTTGAGTGACACTCAGAATCCGATTTTGTTGTGAGTTATAAATCCTGACAAACGGTTTATTATTTTGAGTTTTACTGAAGACAAACACACACTGATAGTGAGGGCACTTGAAAAATGCTATTCTCTGTATGGAGAGAGAGAGAGAGAGAGAGAGAGAGAGAGAGAGAGAGAGAGAGAGAGAGAGAGAGAGAGA